AATTTTAGAAAATTTTTTGGGAAAACAGGGTTTCATTTACAAAAAAAAGAACTATAAAAACATACTGATTAAAACAATTAAACTGAGAAAAAAACTTTTTTTCTATTTACCTCATCTATTTATTTATCTTAACAGAATTATGAAAAATTACTTCATTGTTATACAGAATTCTGAAATGTGATGCAAATTTTTTAAATCATGCAATAAATAAATATTTTCAAATATTAATTTTTATCAACATATGCCAATGAATCAAACTAATATAATTATAAAAGATTTCGCAATAAAATGTAGAACTATAGGTTTTTTAAAAATTGAGTACTTTTTTAATGATTTTGTGCTAAGTTTTATATAAAATATCTGATTAGTTAATTTAGCAGCTTTCCGGTATGAAAATACCAATAGGGCAAAATTACTAATATTACCATAAGTGTGTTCCCGAACAAAAAACAGTGAAAACTAAAAAACGTTACGAATATTATCCAAGATAAGAATAAATTTTAACACAGGCTTTTTGTAAAATATTTAACGGAATGGATTCACTGAGTTGATGATTTATCAACGCACCAGACAAGATATTTTTTAGATATCCGCAAGAGTACCAGCTAATTCCTATTTTTGTAACGTGTTACTTATAATGGAAATATATTTTAAAATTCAAATTGTTTAAAGGAATAAAATATAAAGATACATTCATAAAAATAAAATTAAAACAACAAGTTTTACCTTAATACTATTTTTCTTCTTCAACTTCCTCGCTTATGTGCAAAACAATACACAATACACAATCAGAATTAAGTTTTAATCAGCTACTTTGGTGATTCAAGTTTGAAACTTCACTGCAGTCGAAAGAAAGAATTATAAAGGACCATTCAGATTTTCGTCATTTTATCAACTCGATATCATCAATAACGAGTTGTCGAGCCATTTCTAAATAAATATCACAATTCATCTATTGATATTCTACGTTTATCTGTACTTTACTTAGTGTTATGTACTCCAGAAACTGATAAGATAGTAGTTTCATGCTTTTTCTAGTCATAACCATAAAGGCTTGTCATGAAGATAGTCAAATCAGATCTACTACTATAGTAGTACTATAGTACTATTTTGATACTTATGGATCAATTTTGTAGGTAACATTTTATGTTATATATATTTGCTTCTAAAAGACATAATATAATAAGATATCAAAGACATCATGTAATATCATATATCTTGCTCTAATTTTCAAGCTCTTAATTTATTGTACATCAAAACCAACAACAATTTCAAAATAAAAAAATACAGAACTGCTTGTTCCATTTCTGCGATATTCCGCCTAGCAACAATGCTTACTTCACATACTTTGTTTTCGTATATATAGGAATAGTTATTTCTATTCCTTCAGTCTACACATATTTACCTGACGTTTGTTAAAATTTTCAGTATTTGTTGTGAGTTTTATCATTTATATATTAAATATATATGGTAAACAAGATGGACATGGAGAATATAATGTGCATGTCAACCAATGTGGACAATAAAGTTGATGATGTCATCACCACAATGAATGGAAACACTGGTAACCACGTTATTGCTCACTTAAATACTTGGGTGCCTCCGTCTAATTCCAATATGCTCGATATCTACAGTTTTTGTAAGGTTATTATAAAAAAATTTACTAAAGACGCGTGTTTGGAACAAATATATGAAGGTACTTGTACTATTTTCTGCCAGTATGATAGTATTGAAAATGTCGTTGTGATAAGAGTTGGTAGCGATGCTGACACCTCAATAACATTGAAGGAATATAAACTCAATTTTGATAACAATATCTGTGGTATTGGACAAAAATCATGTATTCTTAATATAGATTATGAAGATATTGTGTTTTGCTTTTCATCTGAAGATAACTATAAAGACTTCAAATCATATGTTGATCTTGTAAGAGAGGCTCAGCGAGAAGCGGTTTTTGAACAACATATTGAACACACTGAAGATTCTTCCATTCCCATGTATTTTCAATCGAACGGTTCCCTAATGCAACAACAAGACATTATGGAAGACAATGTACGCATAAATACATATAAGTGTGCCATAATTGGAAATAAACAGGATTTCAAAAACAAAATCATATTAAATATTTGCACTGGATCAAGCATTTTATCATTTTTTGCTATTCAAGTTGGTGCTGCTAAAGTTTATTCAATTGAAACAGCAAATATGGCTCGGTATACTCTGCAATTGGCTGTGGCAAACAAAGTAGAAGATAAAATAATAATTTTAACTGGTGAAGTCAATGAAATAGATCTACCTGAAAAAGTTGATGTTATTATTTCTGAGCCAATGGGGTATATGCTGTACAATGATCGTATGTTAGAAACATATCTATATGCTCGAAAATGGTTAAAAGTTGGCGGTAAAATGTTTCCAACTCATGGTGAATTACATGTGGCACCATTTTCAGATCAATCGCTATATTCAGAACTATGTTTTAATGCGAATTTTTGGTATCAACAATCATTTCACGGTGTCAATTTAACTACATTACATAAAGCAGGAATGAAAGAATATTTTAGACAGCCTATTATTGATACATTTGATATTGAGATCTGTTTGGCAGATTCAGTTAAACATCTGTGTGATTTCCTGAAAGATAATGATACTGATCTTCACAATATTAATATTCCATTAGAGTTTAACATACTCCAAACTAACGTATGTCATGGTCTTGCATTTTGGTTTGAGGTCGAATTTTGTGGTTCTTCCCAGAACGTGCGGCTATCAACTTCACCTACTGCACCTATGAGTTACTGGTCGCAGATGCGTTGCTTATTGCCAGTTCCAATTTTTGTTAAACAAGGTCAAATATTAAAAGGTCAAGTTGTACTAGTAGCAAATCGCACACGATACTACAATGTGACCGTCGACTTATATCTTGAAGACACGAATATATCCTCTGGAAATACACTTGACATGAGAAATCCATACTTTAGATATGTTGAAACACCTGTGAAATCGCCACCCGGTACTAATGCTCAACGGAGAACCACAATAATAAATGGAGAACTGGATAATCACATTTGTGATATTACTAGTGATTGCGCAAGTAATGCTACCGGTAATGCCACTAGTGATTCCGCTAGTGATGCTACTGGTAATGTCACTAGCGATGCTACTGGTAATGCCACTTGTGATTCCGCTTCTGATGCTATTGGTAATGCCACTGGTGGAGTTGGACACGTTAAATTTGCTCATGAATGAAATTATTATGTAGACAACTTAAACAATTTTGATAATAAAGGACATTTCTTTAATAAAATGAAAACAATTTTTGTTTATTAATTTTTTGCTAATTGCTTTTTGTTTTTTGATGGGTAATTTAGTAATTTAGTAATTTAGCATTTGGTTAATTATGGTTTATAATTTCAAATTTATTTCGTGTAATGAAAACATTATATTTGAACTTATATTTATGTGGGACAATATCTATGTATGGTCTGACTTTGTATACTGCTTATGATAATAATCTTGAACTGTAACCTGACTCCAATTTTAACTTACGAAAACTTGAAATTTTGTATTTGTAAATATAGTAGCTTAAATGTGTTTTCTTTTATGTCCTGACTTCAAGAAGAGTCCATATTTTACAGGTTTGCGTTTAATTTTTTTGCTAGACGTTGAAACCTCCCAAGCGCCTCTTACACTTTTTCGTATAGAATGTATTGCCGTTTAATATAAGAGACAGCGTTCCAGAGGGAGAATGGAGAAGAGTATTTTGTCATATTGCTAATTATAAGAGGGCAAATTTCAAGCTAAGGGATTCCTTTTCTAATGTATTGAGCGGTGATGTCTGTTAAAGGAATTTTTAATATTTCTCAATACATTCGTGTAAAAATACTTACGAATTACAATAGCTCTAATAATAGTTAAAGCAGCACTGATCCTGGAAATATTCAAGATATTACAGTTTTCGAATGATTTTTTGCAGTATGTGACGCTATATCTTACTATGATATGACTGCCCAAATAATTACAAATACAAAAATCAGTTCACGGTAAAATTAAGACGTAAAACGAATAGAGAAGTATTCAATGAATATATTTTACATATATCAACTTTTTTTTTTTTTTTTATTATATTATTTAGATATAACTTGTTAGAGTTACGTATCGATTTCTAGAAAAACGGTGCGGATAGAGGAAAATTACTTTAAGAAATTGGATTTGTACCACCATAGCTCTTAAACCTATTAAGTTACAGAACTATATTAAGTTTCAAATTAAAGAATATTTATGATATTATAAGTAATATATATGATTTCAGCTATGTAACATTTTCAAAATATTTTGAGTGATGGTTTGTATTGGACAAATTTTTACTTAACATCGTCTATCTCAGTGGATGTAGAAAATGGGAATATTGTCTCACGATTCTAGTTAAGTTTTTTGGACCAAAAAACGTTCCCAATATTGATGGTCTTTATTTAATCAGGAAATATATATAGAATATATATTATATAGAATCTTCAATCTTCATGACATTTATACCAATCTGGTTGCATTGAAATAGTTAACAATGTTAACTACTTCTGCATATCTGCAAACATCGCCCATGATCTGAAACAAAATGCAACTTAAAGCTTCCATTTCAGGTTCGATCAGCGATCTTATTGAGAATCCTGGTATATTCTTGATCGTCATGATATCTAGTTAAGTAGTATTTGATTTATTGTCGGCAGTATCTATTGAAATTATTATTATTAGTAGTATACAAAGTCAGACCATTTATAGATATTGTCCCACATAAATATAAGTTCAAATATAATATTTTCACTACACGAAATAAATTTGAAATTATAAACCATAATAAACCAATTGCTAAATTACTAAATTACTAATTACCCATCAAAAAACAAAAAGCAATTAGCAAAAAATTAATAAACAAAAATTGTTTTCATTTTATTAAAGAAATGTCCTTTATTATCAAAATTGTTTAAGTTGTCTACATAATAATTTCATTCATGAGCAAATTTAACGTGTCCAACTCCACCAGTGGCATTACCAATAGCATTAGTAGCGGAATCACAAGTGAAATTACCAGTAGCATCAGTAGCGGAATCACTAGTGGCATTACTAGTAGCATCACTAGCGGAATCACTAGTGGCATTACCGGTAGCATTACTTGCGCCATCACTAGTAATATCACAAATGTGATTATCCAGTTCTCCATTTATTATTGTGGTTCTCCGTTGAGCATCTGATTCGGACAAGTACTGCGCTGAATTGCTTTGAGCATTAGTACCGGGTGGTGATTTCACAGGTGTTTCAACATATCTAAAGTATGGATTTCTCATGTCAAGTGTATTTCCAGAGGATATATTCGTGTCTTCAAGATATAAGTCGACGGTCACATTGTAGTATCGTGTGCGATTTGCTACTAGTACAACTTGACCTTTTAATATTTGACCTTGTTTAACAAAAATTGGAACTGGCAATAAGCAACGCATCTGCGACCAGTAACTCATAGGTGCAGTAGGTGAAGTTGATAGCCGCACGTTCTGGGAAGAACCACAAAATTCGACCTCAAACCAAAATGCAAGACCATGACATACGTTAGTTTGGAGTATGTTAAACTCTAATGGAATATTAATATTGTGAAGATCAGTATCATTATCTTTCAGGAAATCACACAGATGTTTAACTGAATCTGCCAAACAGATCTCAATATCAAATGTATCAATAATAGGCTGTCTAAAATATTCTTTCATTCCTGCTTTATGTAATGTAGTTAAATTGACACCGTGAAATGATTGTTGATACCAAAAATTCGCATTAAAACATAGTTCTGAATATAGCGATTGATCTGAAAATGGTGCCACATGTAATTCACCATGAGTTGGAAACATTTTACCGCCAACTTTTAACCATTTTCGAGCATATAGATATGTTTCTAACATACGATCATTGTACAGCATATACCCCATTGGCTCAGAAATAATAACATCAACTTTTTCAGGTAGATCTATTTCATTGACTTCACCAGTTAAAATTATTATTTTATCTTCTACTTTGTTTGCCACAGCCAATTGCAGAGTATACCGAGCCATATTTGCTGTTTCAATTGAATAAACTTTAGCAGCACCAACTTGAATAGCAAAAAATGATAAAATGCTTGATCCAGTGCAAATATTTAATATGATTTTGTTTTTGAAATCCTGTTTATTTCCAATTATGGCACACTTATATGTATTTATGCGTACATTGTCTTCCATAATGTCTTGTTGTTGCATTAGGGAACCGTTCGATTGAAAATACATGGGAATGGAAGAATCTTCAGTGTGTTCAATATGTTGTTCAAAAACCGCTTCTCGCTGAGCCTCTCTTACAAGATCAACATATGATTTGAAGTCTTTATAGTTATCTTCAGATGAAAAGCAAAACACAATATCTTCATAATCTATATTAAGAATACATGATTTTTGTCCAATACCACAGATATTGTTATCAAAATTGAGTTTATATTCCTTCAATGTTATTGAGGTGTCAGCATCGCTACCAACTCTTATCACAACGACATTTTCAATACTATCATACTGGCAGAAAATAGTACAAGTACCTTCATATATTTGTTCCAAACACGCGTCTTTAGTAAATTTTTTTATAATAACCTTACAAAAACTGTAGATATCGAGCATATTGGAATTAGACGGAGGCACCCAAGTATTTAAGTGAGCAATAACGTGGTTACCAGTGTTTCCATTCATTGTGGTGATGACATCATCAACTTTATTGTCCACATTGGTTGACATGCACATTATATTCTCCATGTCCATCTTGTTTACCATATATATTTAATATATAAATGATAAAACTCACAACAAATACTGAAAATTTTAACAAACGTCAGGTAAATATGTGTAGACTGAAGGAATAGAAATAACTATTCCTATATATACGAAAACAAAGTATGTGAAGTAAGCATTGTTGCTAGGCGGAATATCGCAGAAATGGAACAAGCAGTTCTGTATTTTTTTATTTTGAAATTGTTGTTGGTTTTGATGTACAATAAATTAAGAGCTTGAAAATTAGAGCAAGATATATGATATTACATGATGTCTTTGATATCTTATTATATTATGTCTTTTAGAAGCAAATATATATAACATAAAATGTTACCTACAAAATTGATCCATAAGTATCAAAATAGTACTATAGTACTACTATAGTAGTAGATCTGATTTGACTATCTTCATGACAAGCCTTTATGGTTATGACTAGAAAAAGCATGAAACTACTATCTTATCAGTTTCTGGAGTACATAACACTAAGTAAAGTACAGATAAACGTAGAATATCAATAGATGAATTGTGATATTTATTTAGAAATGGCTCGACAACTCGTTATTGATGATATCGAGTTGATAAAATGACGAAAATCTGAATGGTCCTTTATAATTCTTTCTTTCGACTGCAGTGAAGTTTCAAACTTGAATCACCAAAGTAGCTGATTAAAACTTAATTCTGATTGTGTATTGTGTATGGTTTTGCATATAAGCTAGGAAGTTGAAGAAGAAAAATAATATTTAGGTAAAACTTTTTGTTTTAATTTTATTTTTATGAATGTATCTTTATATATTATTCCTTTAAACAATTTGAATTTTAAAATATATTTCAATTATAAGAAACGCGTAACAAAAATTGGAATTAGCTGGTGTTCTTGCGGATATCTAAAAAATATCATATCTGGTGCGTTGATAAATCATCAACTCAGTGAATCCATTGCGTTAAAAATTTTACAAAAAGCCTGTGTTAAAATTTATTCGTAACGTTTTTTAATTTTCACTGTTTTTTTTTATGTATGGGAACGTAAGTTCGATAAAATCCAATATAACAAACATCCGTGTGTTTTGTTCGGGAACACACTTAATATTAGTCATTTTGCGCTATTGGTAGAACAATAGGAAAATTTTAGCTAGAACAATAGGAACCATATAATTTTTGTTGGAGTTGCAAATGAAAGGGTTTAATTTCCTTTCATTTATAAGATCTGCATAATGTCAGTCAGTAATCAGTGTGAAATGTTCAAAAATATTTAAAAATCTATTTTTAGTTACACCTAAATTATTTGGCAATATATATTTTCCAATAAACACGTTAGCAGTTCCACCATATGTTCCAGAAATTTGATTTTAAGTTTATGAAATAAAGTTTTACCCACAAATATTTTGCTAGACAAACTTTATTCCACATTTGCACGTTATAAATATGTATTACGCTATTTATAAATACATATGTAGATATATTTTGAGTGTCGATTTTGTTAATGTTTCGAAATTAAAATTTTAATACCCGCAGCAAAATGTATTTTGTAATTCAAATGGCATGGATGAGAACTGCCTTCGGAAGGGCCAACTCAGAACTAAATCAGCAAAAAGTTCTGCGTATTTGCACAGCTTTTGGCTAATTTGTTGCTTTATCCAAATTAATTTGGTACTTTCACTTACAACAGAAATCCCAGCACCCAGTTGCCAGTATTCCCAGTTGCGCACTGCATCCGCAACTGGCTCATTGCATGTGCATTAACACTTTCAACCAGTGAAATTGGTTCGCAGTACTGCACCAACGCACTTAACACCGCTAATGGGTATTTGGAGCACATATGCCTTTAGTTGGCCTTTCAGCGTTAAATAATAGTGAAAGGCGTTTACTTGCCAAAGCGGATTTGTTCAGTTTATTGAGCTGAGTATGCATGCAAATGCTGTGTAATTAAAAGCTGTTAAAATTAAACTTCAAAACTTGAGCACTTTAAGTGCGAGTTACTTACGTTTAGATTTTCTTTTTTTAATTCAATTTTGTTTCAATTTTACAAGTACATATGCATATACATATACATACATACATATATATATATATATATATATATATATATATGTGTATTTAATTTGAAACTAAATGCATTTGGAACAAATGCGTACAGCGTACCAACAACGTTTTCATTTGTAGGTACGAAGTTTAACAAATACTTTTTTGTATAAAATAAAAATTTATAAATAAAATAATATATTGAAATATAATTTAGAAAATAGTTTAAAATAATTAAGTAATTTAATTTAATTTAATTTAATTTTTTTTAACCCATATAAAAGCATAGAGAGTGTAATATCATATTTAAATTCTTAATTATTAATAAAACTTTGTAAAAATGCTTTTATATCAAGTCTTTGGAATCTTTGGAATTGATCAAAATTGTTAGAGCAGATAAACTTCTCTCATACTGTAATAATTATGAATTATTTTTATAGTTTATAAATAATTTATTGAATTAATTTGTGCTGACTGGTTAAGTTGGTTAAGGTGCGCTGACTCTGAGCTTCAAATTTGGCAGGGCACGAGTTCGAATCCTGGTAATTGCAGTCTCAAAATTACGAAAAAATTATTATATACTAATAATTATATACAAGAATTATTTCCAAGACAACATATGATTAATTAAAATAATATAACATGAATTTCTGTTGTTGTAGTTCACTACTGTTCAAAAAACCTATTTTTAAATTAATATATAATTATTAAATTTTGTTATTTAATCTATATATATTAATTATTTTAATTATATAATTCATATAAATTATTATAACGTTTTATTTTAGTTTATAAAATTTTTAAAACTAATTTTATATGCTAATTTTTGTTAAATAAATTATTAAACGTAAATAATTCGAACAACTAATACGAATTTTAAGCAAAAAATTGTAGAACTGATTGACAAGAGGGCTTATAATCTAATCACACGGATGAGTTAATCTTCATTAACTAATGATCTGATCTTGTGTTGCGCCTTTTAGGAGCAAATTACTACAATTCTAATACGTTTTTGAGAAAAATGACATAAAGCAATACAGCCTTTTTTTTATAAATCGCTAATAATATCATTATTACACTTTCCGATTTTAAAGAAAGGCATAAGTACTGGTTAGTACTGTTAACAATAATTATAAGATAATATAATAATATATTAACATTATTAGGTACAGCCTCTAGAGTTTTTTCTTGTTAACTATGTTTGATGGCAAATTGAAAGTGAGCATATCTAAATTTCCTTTTAAATTTAGGCACAATCAAGAAGTACCAAGAAGTAGTAAAAATACAAAATTGGCAATACTAATGTGACAGTCTGCATAACATGCATTTTCGCAAAACCCGAACAAGCGAATATTGCCGTGTCCGAGACACTCTGCATAACATGACCTTTAAACTGATTATAATCAGCAGTCAGCTCTTTAGAACAGAAACCAAAAGCCTAGTACTAATATTCATTTTGTTAGATTAATTGGCATAAAATGCCATATGAAAAGAATTATCTACAATATCCAAATTTTTTGGAACATTTTTTTATGATATACCATATGAAGTTTCATATCACTTTTTTCGCGCAAAATGTATGTTAGTATTAGACTAAAGGTCGTAATAAAAATATTTATAATTTTGCAGGTGTAAAAACAAGGTATAAAAAAATAGTTGAAATGGGAAAATCAACTTTTGGAACATATGTCCGTAAAACGTTTTGAAAATAAACACATAGACAAGAAGACGAATCTAAATCACAGGTTAATAAAGATCAAGTTATCCGTGTGAATAGCTTATAAGACATTTTGTTGATCAGTTCTGTCTTTTTATTGCTTAAATTTCATTATAGATGTAAAGTTAATTAATTAAAGTTATTATAACTATTATAATATTACATTATGTGAGAAGTATATATAGTTAATAATTGAAAAAATAGTACACTGTAGCAGTTATGCTACCAGTTGAGTCTCATTATGACTTGAACTAAGAAAAAATTATTATTTTTATTTATTTGTTATTTAACCTGATTTATACTTTATACTGCAAACAATTCCAATCAAGTTTAATATTCTACAACCACTTCAATGCAAGACATCACACTTTAATTTACTGAGTACTCACTAGTAGACAGAATATTTTATGGACTATAGTTTACATTTCTTATTACACTTTTTTGTACTTAAAGTACAATTTCTTTTTCATACCATATTCTTCGCCAGTGCTGGGAAACGTAGTTGCTTCAGGACATGATACTACTAAAATATTCAGACTAAAAATTTTTAATAAAATTGTAAGCATTGAGTAAATTTTTAAAAGCTGCTATTTATTTTGTATTTTCGCTTAATTTACTTGGAATTTTTTAGTTGTAAACTTCTTTTGCGCTTTCCATATTTCATCGCTTTTGCTTAATGAAAATACCTGCAAATATTTCTGTTCAACAAAATAATAAATTTTTTGCTCATTCTCAGATTACACGTATCTGAGAGGAAAAAAATTATTTGCTTGAAACGAAACATAAACTTCATTATTAAACAGTTTGTTTGGCAATAATACGGATATATATATTGGATGCTCCAGAAAGTTTGCAAAAAACTTCAAAATAGAAAAAAATTTCAAAAAGGGTGAGATAGTCAACTGCTTCTTCCCTAATGTCACTCATTTGTGTGTGTTCCTCTGACTCTCCTGTCGTTTACATAAAAATGCCTGAGGTGAAACGGAAATTGACCATCATAGCCACGAACGAAAATTTCGGTGTCCTAATCTGCCACTTGACTTGAATACTAATTTGTCTTTATTTTAAGACATTTTATTTTATTTTAAGGAATTTTACTTAAATATTTGCACTGAAAGGATAACAATATATTTTCATGAGTTATTTGGGGGAATGTGAATACTTTTGTCTTGAGTCTTTGAAGCCATACTAAAACAGTCTCTTACTCTCTCTGAAGCAAATATATTTTCCTATTTGCTCCTTATTAAAAATATTTTTGCATATATTATATTGTATAATATATATTTAAATCTTTTTTGAGTCTTTTGAAGCTTTAAGC